CTCATGCAAACGCGCTTGGTTCAAATCCATCAGGTTATCACAAAAAAAAATAAGGTCGGATACTTTTCTCACAGGCCTCGTATATATACCAATTAAGTGTTTGAAATAAAATAAGCTGAAATCAAAAGTAGTATTATAACTAGGCAATGAATAATATATATGCATGTTTATATAATCTGAAGAATACTTATGACATTTTACCATCTCTTTGATAATATCCAAATGGTGTGAAGGGTAAGCTAGCTTGTACAGCTAGTCCACCATTTCTTACATTTATTTCTTTATGGATTGTATGTTTATGATTTAATCATGTAAAGAGTAAACAATGAAAAACCCATTCAATTCCAAAAATAATCCATAATGAAATATTATTCTCATGATCATCATGCCACACTATCACAAGCACTTTATTCATGATCCTAGTTGTTTTCATACTGATAAGTAAAAGCAGTAGTATGCAATGGTGACTCTCAAAGTACTGGATCAACTACCAACCTGCAACAGCTGTTGTTGGTTTTGTAACCAAATTCTCAATATGAAACAGGAAATAACCATATTTTCAAAGATTAATTAAATATATCCCTATGTAAATAAACCTACAATAATATTAAACTAACCTGGCTGAAAATAACAAACACTGAGAGATGTACAAAACTGAATCTTTTGATTTTCTGAAGTTTATTGAAATCTGTAGCAGGCAATTGAAGGTTAGAGTACTAAAATTATTGGCAGTTTTGCTGCAATGTTATATCACAATTTAGTTTAAAGACTTTCATTCTTGTCAGAGCAAGTTATGCTAATTCTTAATTGTAATTTAAGGCTCATAATTAGGTTTGTTAATGATTAATAAGTGAAGCTATTCTTGACTTTTTTTATCACATTAAAACCTGAGTTTTTTGTACATGTTTAGCCTTCTTGTAATAGTTGTCAGTATGTTGTCTACAGTTGCCAGCTGAAGGCTATGATATAGGGGCAGAGAAGTTGCAGTAAATAGAAGTTTTTATAAATCCCTTGCAGTTTTCATTTTCTTAAGGCTAAATCTCCCACAAATATAATGTAGAAAAAAAATCTGGGTCATACCTAGCCAGTTCATTCTTGTCTTTGTGACTTTTCCCTAAGTTACGAATCTCTTCTCTGTTCTGTGTTTCTAACCTCTTCATTAAATCACTAACTTCCCTATATAGAAAATATACTGCTTTAAACTTCTCACTTTATATTGAATTAAAAAGGTTAAAAAAACAACAATCAAATAAAAGAATAGGTTAAAATCTCAAAGGTGGTAAAGATCTTGCATGAAAAGTAAGACATATTACAAACATATTTTTGTATACATACATATTAAAGTATCATATACAAGTAAAATAATGTCACTTATGACATACAGACATAAATGAGTGTGGATCATAGGTTATATATATATCACATATATTTGTTGTTTAAATATAAAATAAAGCTCATGTAAGATGAAATTCATGTTTTGCACAATTAATCAGGGGCAGTAAACCCAAATATCTATGTAAGATGCAAGTTATTATAATAAAAGTACTGCTTTAATCATACATGCAAAATATCTCCTTCTCTCTGCCTTAGACAACACCATCACCTTGGAATTTGAATGAATAACTTTTTTATAACATTCAAAAGCTTCTCAAAGAGGTGTCTAGAACATCTGCACTTTACAAGTTAAAGTAATACTATTTTTTTGATGAATGAGCACAAATAATTGTTATGAACACATATAATAGCCATGCAACAAAATGCACATATACAAGTGTAATTTCTATGAATGTTTTACATGTTTAAAAGGTTTCCATTTAGTTATATGTGAAAGAAGTAATTTACTCATACAATTTCTTCATTTGTCTTCTTTTATTATAGAAACTTAAACATGAAGCCTAAAACATCTCAAACAATCCAACAAAAGTCATTACCAGTACAGTAGTTAACATTTCTTAAATGTTTAATAAAAACAAAAAATTCAATACTGATTTGATATCACATCTAACTTATACTTATTTCCTCCAAACTATTTACCCCAAAATCAAGTGCTTACTAAAAACTGACTGACTACTACTCAAAATTCACTCTGACAGTTTATTGAGATTACACTAAATCTAAAGTAGCTGGTTATAAAAAATACCAATAATTAAGTTTTAGAAGGTAACTTTGTTCATTTCTTAAAATCACAGTTCAGGAAGTTAATTTGCATCAGTTAAGCCATTTATAATTAATTTTGTATTTACACATAATTATTCTTTTTATTACTTGTTTATCTTCAAATTAGCTTAGTTTTATACCATTCACTACTAGAGGGGTCAACATATTGAAACTTATTAAATAATTTTATACTTACGTCTGCTACAATACTTAGTGTAAAGAATTTCCCCAATAAAATGTAATTAAATCTCCAAATATTTATATATTAATAGCATGTATGTAAATATACAAGTATAGACAGATAGATATGCATTTTTGAACTATAACAATTTGTTGCATACTTGGAACACAATTTTCTTTTTCTTTGGAAAACAAACTGTGTTTAGTTAAGAATACTTTTTTTTTTAGTTACTCTTTATACTGGAGCTGTAGTAGCATCAATAAAGTTTTAATTTTATGAACAATATGACATATCTCACCTGTCATGCAGATTCTGCAACATCTGTAGTTGTTCAGCCTGAGATAGTTGGGTAGCTTTTTCAATTGCAAGATATAACTACAAAACACAGGCATTACTTCTTATGATTGGTCAGTAAACACTTATTTGTTTATTTCGTTTATTTACTTTTTATTTTTTTTGGGGATGTAATCTTAGATAGTATTGATGAGTGATCTAAGGAACATCTTTTTTCTTCTGTCTTGGAACTGAAACTAGCAGGAGCAGTATAAGAGGAGTGCAAAGGATGCAATTGCATGGGAGACCCTAACCAAGGGGACCCCTATCGCAAAGATTAAAGAAAATTCAAGCCATACTATGGACCCCAGAATAGGACTTTTTATTGAGTCCCAAATTGTTTAATGTTTGTTTGTTTTTTGAATTTCACGCAAAGCTACACGAGGGCTATCTGCGCTAGCCATCCCTAATTTAGAGGTGTAAGACTGGAGGGAAGGCAGCTAGTCATCACCACCCATTGCCAACTCTCGGGCTACTCTTTTACCAATGAATAGTGGGATTGACCATCACATTATAATGCCCCTATGGCTGAAAGGGCGAGCATGTTTGGTGTGACGGGGATTCAAACCCGAGACACACAGATTGCGAGAAAGAAACACAAGTAGGATAAAGTTAAACAATCAGATAAAATGAAGAAAATCTATAGATTCTTTTATAGTTTATCCATTTAATTTCCCAAGATTTTAAAAGTAATCATACATTAAATTTTGAAGTATTGGCTTACTTCATTGCAACCAAAAAATTTCGGCTTAGTCATTTCTGAACAAACTTCTTTTAGAGCATTATAAAAATACTATAATAACTTACAAATAGAGTATCACCATAAAGTCATGATTACTCTTGTGATGCACAAAAATTCCATAAAAGTATTTTGTTACTAGATTCCGGGACAGTTTAAAAATTCTTATAGTAAATAAGAAATGATAAAATACATAGAAAGATAAAATTATTTGCTATGAAAAAAACAAAGACATAATTAAAAGTTATAAACTTTAAATTAATTTTCAGAGTAGTAAGATACATGTATCATTCCAAACATATGTTTTATTTTAATCAAAAAGTACTGGCTAAAGAACACCAATAAATGACATTACAGAGATATATAAAAAGATATTCACAGGTTCATGGTATTTTTTTTGAAGGTCCATTTCTGCACGGAACTGATCTTTGATCAAGGAAAGGAAGTTATGACTAAAGGTCTTCCGAAGTTCCTCTATCTACAGTCCATATAAAAAGCATGTTTTTTAAATTGTGTTTAAAGAATATTCTAGAACTAAGTCCATAGTAGCTAGATAAGCATGATTCTCACATACATATTATGAATTCTTATCATTACTCCAGTTGTAACAAAGTTGATGAGGAAGGTTATCCACACTACATATTCTAAAAAAAATTCTATTAATAACTATTGTCTTCACAACAGTTAAAAAAAGTGGAAGACAATTATACATCTATTTAGTAGCAGTGCACTCAACTATAGCAATCACTCTACATAAGTATGTGGGTATTTGTAAATATCCTTTCACTAATTACAGATTTTTTTTGTTATTAATAATGACATGATTGCTTATCAAAGCAAACAAGATGGTGACACTTAAAACAGGAATCTACTTATAATGAAATGTGAAACAATAGATAAAAAAACAGGTAAAAGAAAAATATTAGGTATTTGCACTTTGCAGTTAAATGTTCAGTAATAACTGGCTGACACTAAAGCATGTTAGACTAACTTATTAATCCCAGTCTCTGTGAAACCATAGTAATAATGCAACAGATTTGTAAATGATGTAAAGAATGATAATAAAAAATCTTACCAGTATGAATGTAAGAAATATTTATGGTTTCTAGAATCTACATAAATAATGTGAAAATAATTCTCTTATAATTTTGGAGTACTGTTTTCAATTTAAAAAAACTAACAGAAACACTCAAAAACAAAATAAACATAAAAAAGTACATGTTGGTGAATGAAATGTCTCTGTGAGATATTTTGCTATTACTAATTGCCCCTCCTGGAGTGATAGTGGTAAGTTTTCGGACTTACAACACTAAACACTGAAAATGTATTTCTGATAAATACTTACCTCCTCTAACCCAAACTATCTTGACCTTGATTTGTCCTCTAAGCATTGCTAAAATATTTCAACAGTGTACCAGTCTTTGATACCTTTTCATTTCTGTGCCATTGCAAGCAACATGTGCTGATCATGTGGCTACCCTCCACCAATCATAATGTGCCACCTATAATAGCACAGGTAGCTCCTTCTACCATTGCAGTACAATCCTCATTTTAGAGAATTGGCAGATACAAATTAGAAACACTGGCCAATCAGTGGAGAGGAAGGGTGGAAAGTGGGTGAGATGAGATAAGTACCTATCGGAAATACATTTTCAATGTTAGAAAATGTTAACTTCCAAAACGTTACTACCTCTTCTCCCCCAGAGGTTAGAACCCCACATTGCAAAGGTGGAGGGGCCAGTGAAGGTGCAAAAGTAATCAATCAAGTGGAGAACAACCTTAGTGATAGAACATGTGTGCCACAATTATAAAAGGAGGCACATCTGTGGGGTATAGGACCACTTCTGGAACAGATATTCTCTTCACCCAGTAATGAACAAAGTAAGACACATGGGGCAGAAATTAATAAACAGGCACCATGTAATGTAATACATTCCATACATTCCACCTGTAGACAACAGATAGTACGTAAAATGTCCATTTATGTAACAAGCATAAGGATATGACACAGTCATAGTCAGATTTCAAGAAGGTGCCTGGAATCAGATATAAGAATATGTGGTAAGGGCTAAAGGACCATAAATGTATATGAATAGGCCAAGTGTGATCCGCCCGGGCAAAAACATCCAGGAGAAGTGCCTTCAGATATGTCAGATTATGCCAGGTGTGGTCCATCATAAACAACAGTGGAAACTCTTTGCATAAGATTGTAAGATCGACAAGTGTGGTCTGCCCAGACAAAAAACATCCAGGGGAAGCACCTGGGATTTATATTAAGCTAGCCAGGTGTTGTCAGCCCAGGCAAAACATTCAGGGGCAACACCTTGGTATACATCAGATTATGTCAAGTACAGTCCATCCAGGCAGAGAACTTCCAATGGAAGCATCTTGCAGATGCACTCACAGAAAAACCAAAGGATGAAGGGACCACTCAGTGGGGAGAACCTGGTGGGGGAATCGAAGTAAGCTCCCCAAACTTACTAAGGAAGCATTTGTCAAGTCACCATGCAAGGTTGGCCTTGATTCCAGGTGGAAGAGAGATGGGATGGCAAAAAACATCCAATGAAGGGAAAGCATCTGCACCAGACCTAAGGGAATGAGAGCTTTCAAGTAAACCCACAACCTCAAAAGAGAGAGACTATCTCATGCAGAGAGAGAGAGGAGAAGAAGGTAGAGCCTTCATGACTGCCTGCTCCATATCCCAGAGCCAAAGTGGAGAAGGCTGGGCTCAACTGAGATGCGAAGTGAAGAGAACTCCTAAATGAATACAATACTGAAAGAGGTAATAAAGGACTTCTCCAACTTGATGAAAAAACCCACCCAAGCATCTTGTCGAAGAAATAAGCAAGTGTGAGTGACTGACTGGGTACGTGAAGAGCCAATCATCCATGTAATCGAGAGTCCAAAGATCCAGCAAGTGAAGATGATGTGCAAAAGAGCATACCACTAAACAAAACATATATGGAACTGATGAAAGACCAAACAGCAATGTACAGAACTGGAAAGCAGAACACTTGTGGATGAACTGAAGAAAAATGATGTAACATTAGGGCAAAAAAACCCACCAAAGTGAAAGGCAGGTCTCCAGAGTAAAGTGAGGTGTCTCCAGATAAAAAAAACAGCCAGGAAAGAGCTATGATGTGACCTCCATCTCCCATGTATTTTAGAGACAACAAATAGATGGGAGTAAAATCCTGGTTGAGTGGGTACCACCCACTCGATATCTCCTTTGTGTAGTAGGTCTCGAACAGACTCGACAAGATGATTAGACAAGGCGTAATCCCGAGGAGGATGGAAGGAGATCTGGAAAGTGGATAGGGGGGGGGAGCAAAATGGAAGGGAGCAACCCACAGAAAGAACCCGTAGAACCCACGGAACTGTCATTAAGTGTAGCCAAAAACACAAAAACTAAACATAGTGGGAGAAAGTACTCATAACTAACAAAACGTAGAAATGTGTAAAGTCTACAAAGTACATAAAAATAACAAACCTGTAAATCTATTAAATTTGACCTAAAACAGAAAACAATAAGTAACACCTAAGGTACAAAACCATTAAAGGAACTTAGAAGATAAATGACCCTTAAATATTGAACATATAAGTCCACCCAAAGAATCTATAAGACAAAGGACACAAAAATAAAACTGACCCTAAAGTGCATGAGAATAAATAGGTATCCAGTTAACAATAACAAAGTTTAATCGATTCCCCAATTAGACGTGACTAGTAGTAAAGAAAAAGGAACTTATAAACAAATTAACATTAACAGTGAAAAGAAGTAAAGTGCAAACAAAAACAGGAATAATCAAATTCCAATGCAAGTTTAAATTAAATTAACCTAGATGGTAAAAGAAGTATAAAAATCTAACCTACCCAGAGGGCAGAAAACACATGAATGACCTAAATTATCGAGTGTGGAAATCAGGTCCATCCACACAATCTCACATAAAGTCAGTGAAATTGGTTATACCTACAGGTAGTGAGAAATACACACTGAAAAACTAACCAAACCCAACAGATTATGTGGAGGCATGGTAACAGGTGGAAAGTTTCATAGAAAGACAATTTCCACACAGTAGTTATATTCCTCTTCACAAAAATCGTAACATGAAAGCAAAAATCGTTGGCCGAACATAAGACATGAACTTTCCCAGCAGACATCATCAACCCTGAGACCGGGGACTAGTATTCTACTTATGGCGGGAATTTCAACATCCACCATATTAAATCTCCAATTAATATGAACAATGTAGAATTCAGAAAGAGAAACATTTCTAAAAGAATCAAGTAGAAACAATGGAAATCAAGCACAATCAAAATCTTGTAGTCACATGGAGAACAAATTAAACTAGTAGAATGCAAATCAAAAAAGTGAGGATTGTGCTATTATAGGTGGCGCAGTATGATTGGTTGAAGGTAGTCACATGATTAGCACATGTTGCTGCAATGGTGCAAAATTGAAGGGGTATGAAAGACTGGTGCACTGTTGAAAAATTTTAGCAATGCTTAGAGGGCAAATCAAGGTCGAGATAGCTTTCGGTGAGGGAAGGTAGTATCATTTCGGAAATCCAGGGTTCATTTCCCCACAGTAAACACAGCAGATAGGCCAATGTGGCTTTGCTCTAAAATGAACAAATAAACTACTGCCATTCACATGTCTGATACTCCACTAATAACTAAACAAAATAATTTAAACTTTTTGAAGATGAATTGTAAAAGGTACTACAAATATGTTCTAATAGTACACATTTTCAACAGAACTTTAAAAGAATTAAATCATTTGTTAGGCTTGTTATATTTAATACACTACAGAATAATGTATTCAAATAACACTCAATTCCCATGTTAAACTTACCTTACTTTGGTGTTGAACAAATATTGATTCTAAATCAGCTTCACTCTTCCTTTTAAGTAAGTGGCTGTAATGTTAACATGATAGATTGATATAAGAAATTAGTGTTAATAATGAAAGAAGAGGTAACAACTCTAACATTGAAAGCATTATGTTATTTTCACATTATAGTTGTTATAGTACAATGTTATAAAATTCAACAAAAGTAGACCATGACCTCCATGACATTGGATTGACAAGGTCATACATGTGCCTTTTTTAAGGTTAAGGGCATGTGTCAAATAGACTTAGCATATTTCTAATTTGTTTAACTTTGGGTCAAATGAAATATCTTCATATAAAGTATACATTTCAAAAATCCACATTTGACTTCATATCCTTCACAAACTTTCTAAATGGGCAAAAGAAAATTTTACAATGGATATATGTTATGGTGATACTTTTGATAAGCAGTTTTAATACTCTTTAAGAGACTGTATTCAAAAAGTCAGATATTACAATACATACATATCAATTCAAGGAACTCAATTAAGAAATTCACCATGTAATCATGCTAGGAATTTCTTGACCTTTGAAACTACTACAAAAAACAAAACTGAGTACCTCCAGGGTGAACTAGAATATCATAGGCTAATTTCATCTAAAGTTAAGGGTCATAAAAATTTGTTTTATAAGATGAGAATTGGCTCTAAGATATTCTTGGATGAAAAGCAGATAATCTTTATGTAATATCAGTATAAAATCTTGTCAATATATGAAGGATTCTAGTCTAGTTTTGAGTATATTTGAAGGTTAATGTCATGCATTCTGTGAAATACAAGGTATTTAAGAATTAGAAAGTGTATTTTCACAATGGTTTAATATAAAAACAATTAATGAGGCGATGATGTTCTATGTCATTTTTTTTATTTTCTCTTAGATTCAGTTTGACCTTATTGTCAAATTACACATTACCCACACAATGTTTAAGCATATTCAGACAGTTTGCAGAGTAGCAGGTAGGCACAAAAGAACATAAAGCTAGAATATTAACAATGGAATAGACTGCAGTAAAGACACTTTAAAAAGCAATCACCAATTTTTATTCACATAAAACTACATAAACGAATATTTAAAAGTTTACACCCATGATGTGTGAAATGCATATTATTAATGGTTTAGAGCTATGTTACAAACAAGTTAATTACAAGGGTTAAAAATTCAAAGTTTTCAATCAAGACTTATGGACATAGCTAACAGTTTAGAGCTACACTCCAAACGAATTAATTGCAAGAGTTAGCATTCAAAGATTTTATTCAAGACTTATGGATCTAACAATTTACTATTACATAATATTACTTGAGTGAATATTCAGAATTTTCATCTGTTGTAGATGGAAATAACATTTAGTTTAAAGCTGCATTAGAAAGATGCAAAGTACATAAACGTGTATAAAAATTTTTTATACAAGACATTTGGAGAAAACTGACAGTTTAGAGAAAATTTAGAAAGATTAAAATTGTACAAGGAAAGCTATATAAGTAATGAAAAAATGTTTCAAGAAAGGAAGTAAATGTAGGGATGGCTAATATCATACCTCCAAAAAGAATAGTAGAGATAGCATTTTCATCATCCCAACATCATAGGATGATGAAAATGCCATCCATAATATCTTCTTTACATTCTTTTTGAAGGATTTATATTAGCCATCACTACATTTACATCTTTTTTTTAAAGTTTTTCTTTACTTGTTTGCTTGTTGTTGTTTTTTAATGCAGTGTTTCAATAGATTAATTATGGCCAAGTTCTAAATACAATGAGGTTCCAACTGTAATATTTGTTGTTTATCTATTATGTCTGGTAATTCATGTTTAACCCTGTGCTTAAGCTTTTGAAAGGAACACCAAATATCTGTAAGAAAGCTAAATTTAAAAGATAATGATAACCTTGTTTACACTAGAAATATCATTTTTTTTTAAAACTTACTACTAGTTATTAAGAACAATAATAATAATTATAAAAGCAGATACTCCATTTGAAACTATGTCATCTCAGTGAAATTGGTTGACACCATTGTTTTGGCTTTTGAGTTATCATGTAATAATAATAAAAAAGCAGAAGGACGAAGAACAAGAAATTCAAAATGTTTGCTATGATATTTACTGACAATATCAGAACTTGTGACTCAGTTATTACATAGATATTGTTATAAAAGGAATTGCTGTATAGTATTGTAAAGTGCTGATGACCTATTGAAGTGATATTTAAAATACCATTTTGATGAACAAACCAAGCCATCCATATATAGTCAGTGCTACCTTTACTCCAATTTAACTACAATTTTTGAAATGTAAACTAAAGGACAGGGACAAAAACACCCATCTATGACCAGTGAATCATAGGATCTAATTAAAAGGAGATTTTATCATTTTCAAATGTGCAAATGATGAATGAATTCTAAGAATTAGAGTTACTTTTAAATGACAAAGTAAACCTGAATTTAACATAAATCAGTCAGAATATTCATTAATATTAAATATTCATTTTTTCATCCAAGGAAAACAGACATAGTTAACAGTTTAGAACACACTAAAAATTAATTGAATACAAAAGTTATTCAATGGTTTAGAATAACCAGATGTGTAAAACTACAGAAGTGAATATTTAAAGCTTTCAAGCAAAACATATGGACATAACTAACAGTTTAGAGTGATTTAAGAAACGTTCAAACTACAGAATTGAATATTTAGAGTTTTCAAGCACAATGTATATGACTAACAATCTAGAGCTAAAAAAAAAAAAAAGATGTAAAATAAGTTAGTAAATGTTTTCTTACACATTTGTAGCAGAGCCTTTTTTCACTTGCTTTGTATGAGTCTTAGCAATCTGAGATTTCAATTTTATCTGGGCTTGAAAGAGTTTCTCTTCCTTTTGCTGCTGGAGTTCTTTCTCTTTTTCTCGTGACTAAAAATAAGTGAAAATGTTAAGATGTATTAATGTCAAATACTCAATAAATAAATAAAGAATTATGTTATACTTATTTTTCATAAACCTACAAAATGAAATACCCAAGATGAGCTGTATGAAACTAAAATAAAATGAACCATTGTTTTTCCATATCATAGAACAAATATTGACTTCATAAGTCAGTCACTGAAACAAAAAAAATCATTATGTTTGTATTCTGTTCAACCACTGACACAATAAGAAATTGGCAAAGATTTCTAGTATGTTTTATGTTTCAAAGTTCGTGGTGCTAACTTTCTTATGTAATAACATAGTTTTAATGAATCATATATACTAACTTTCTCATAAACTTTCTTAAATAACAGAACAATATGTTTTATGTAATCAAAGATACTACTTTTTGATATAAAAGTCTTATTCTATTAGAGATACTTAACTAAATTTCATATTTAAGTTATTGCATCGAAAATATTAACCTTCTTAAAATAAACAATAGGTTACATTTACATCCAAAGATGACTTTCTTATATACATAAAAATTGATGTTTTGAATCCACAGATAGTAACTGATATGCTTACAAAACTTTTTTATCCAGAAATACTAACTTCCTTACTTAAGGAAACAGCGAGTTTTTATTTATTCAGAGATACAAACCTTTTCAAACTTTTTATGCAAAAGAGCAAGATCTCTGTCTATCTTGGTCTTTATTTTCTGTACTAGTTTTGATTCTTTTATCTTTTCAATGGTTTCTGCACTGATGTTGGCTTCTTCAGATTCTGGAGATAGATTATTCAATGAAACATATCATACATTTTTTTTCTGCATAACAATAAATGACTAAATATTCTGTACAATTGTTCAAAGTTAATGAAAACTTGTGATTTGGTGGTTTAAAAAATTTCTTTAAAATATAAATTAAACACTGAGTATTTGAATTAAAATTTTCATGGTAGATCTAAAATGGTTTAAATCATTTTTAATAAATAATGTGAAATAAACTGTTTTGGACACTTATTATTTTCTTATTTAAGAGTCATGTAGTATGGTACTCCACTCCTAGGCACATTATGTCTTTTTGAAGTTAATATTCTAAAGAAAATTATGAACTACAAAGATTGGATATGCACTAAGGTCAAATTCATAAGAGAAAAGAGCCCTTAAATTAACTGAGATCAAGTACGGCACCTGTAGTTTTTTCAAAGACTTCACTCTAAATTCCTTAATTATTACTCTATAATTGCATACATATCAATAAAAATATGTTTATTTTTTATTTTCATGCTTTATGACAGAAGTATAAATTTATATGTGAAACTGCATGTAAATTAAGGCCAGTCTAAGTATATATATATATGTATGTGTGTGTGTGTTATCCAAATGTGTATTTGTGTGGATCTAGATATACACAGAATGAATACCTGTAACACCTTAATAAAAACAAAGCAAATAAGGTAATATTGTACCAGATCTAGAAATTACAGAAGGTACAATACTGGAAGAGAATAAATGCAATAGTAACTCCCAAATAGCATTGAGGATACCAACCTCTCCAGCTCTTCATCCAATGGTAAGTGAAAAACTAGCATATTAACAACAACAAACCAGTTAGTAAATCAATTAAGAGCTTGTACACTGGTGCAACTATGCATAAGCTGTTTACAACCAGTTTTGGGCATGGAAGTTATACATTAAAACTACTTAATATTGAATTACGCTATTCACCAATATAGTTTATAATATACACCAGAATGAAAGCTCGTCAAAAATGAGAGGAAACCATTGTTGAATGTATAATGAAAATTACAAAATTTAACTAAAACGAATTTATCTGTACTTCCAAAATGCACCTACTCTTCACTTATTTCATCAGTCTCAAAGTAATTCCTTAATCACCATATTCTTAGTAAAAACTACATAGAAAAATGAAATGTTATCACGAACAAAAATATGTATACTCTCTGAAAGAGACTTAAATAGCGATATTGAGCCTTTTCACTGTATTCTAGAATACATAGTGAGAACATTCCAACACAAATTTTCAACTCATTCAGCTGTACAAAGGATAAAAGATATTTAGTAGTATTAAACGTTTAATTTCTTTATGTTTTAAGGACAAGTAGATAATATATGTGCTAAAAATACCAAAAGAATATTTATTAATTAACATTTATTCATCACTAAAAACTTTTTAAACACTGACTCTATAACGTTAGTAATAATAGGCCTATTTGTAGTCTAATTTAAGCATTAGGTCTAATACATAAACGTAATGTAAGGCTTAGCTGAAACACTACTTGGTAAATTTTATTTTGCTTTTGGCTACAACTCAATGTTATAAAACTTCTAAATCAAACTATTTTGCTATTATATCACCAAAGTTATTGTCTGTTTGTTTTTGAATTTCATGCAAAGCTACACGAGGGCTATCTGCGCAAGCCATCCCTAATTTAGCAGTGTAAGACTAGAGGGAAGGCAGCTAGTCATCACCACCCACCGCCAACTTTTGGGCACCTCTTTTACCAACGTATAGTGGGATTGACCATCACATTATAATGCCCCCACGGCTGAAAGGACGAGCATGTTTGGTGAGACGGGGATTCAAACCTGTGACCCTCAGATTGCGAGTCGAGCGCCCTAACCACCTGGCCACCAAAGTTATCAAAAAAGTAAAGAATCTAAAACAAACCTTTCTAACAAATTAACATGAATACTGAGCATTCAACATATACATCTTAGTTGGCCTTAGAATAATCAAGTGATAGTTTTGTTGTTAAGCAACAATGTGTATTGTTGAGCATTACCAAAAAATGAGTGTGAAAGTGTTCTCGACAGAGTGGCAAAGGGAATAAGCCTTTTATAGTTAATGATGACTGGGAATAGAAACTTTTCCAGTACTAAAAATTTTCAAACATTAACAAACAATCTTTGATAATGTTATGTATCTGCTTGTTTGTTAAATTCCGGAATAAATTCCTTCCGAGGAACTTCAGCAATACAAGTCCCTTCTTGATTAAACCAGTTTATTCTTTCTTGATACAAACTTTGTAGTACACAGTAATTCCACAGTCAGTACATTTCTCATCACTTTAAACTTAACAACTTTTATAATACATGCTATAAATCACAGCAATTCACAATCTTGATAATTTTGCTCTCTACGAGTGCAAAACACACAATAGCTCAAAACAGAATCGTAAATTACTCGAAACTCACCGTGACTACTGCCGCTTAACCCTACTGGCTTTTTTCCAGGCTTATATACTAACAAAGAGGCTTCTCCAAAACTTGTGGAGTTCCCCAATAATTCAAGAAATTCAGTCACGTATGCGCCAGTAGCATCACGTGACTTCTGCTGTTGTAACAATAGGTTGTTTAGGCAGAGTATTTAT